TCGCTGCCACGAGATCCAGGGCCCCTCGCATCCTGAAAGATGCTGCTCTTTAACCTTAATAAACACCGCGGCCCCGGCCTTAGTTCTTGCGGGAATGAATCATTCGCCGGTGGTGGTTGTTGGAGGGATGCTTGTCTGATTTGAGCCTCCTGCTGCTGCCTCTGGGCATGCGGAGCATCTAAAATGTGTTCTCATTGTTGATAGATCAGCCTGCTCTTCTGGAGAGACCGAGGCAAAACTTGTGAGAACTGTGCGAGAATAAATTAGAAAAAGGCCTCGCTAAGTCCAGAATTTATTTGTGATGCGTTAACTCCTTGGTTGTCATAGTGATGCTGGGAGATGCTTTTGTTGATGCATTATCCTGAAACGATAAATTGTTTGTTTTTCAGCATTGCCTGTTACATTTTGTCCCAGATGCATAAATACGGTTTTGTTGGTGTTTGAAGTAATAATATTTTCTCTTTATTCTGAAGAAAGGAATAATCAAAATTAGTTCTTACTACATGAAGATTCACAGAAGGGCCTTTACTGATCACTCTGTCATGGTAGCTGGTGCTCAGCATCTGACTCTAGACAATGAAATAGTTTTCTAGTACATGAAATAGAGCAGTTATTTGGATATCTATGTCAAAAATGGTTGCCCTAATTAGAGAAGGCTCCATAGTGCTTCCTCACCAAACTGTAAGGAGTTGTGGGCTGACATGGAAAGGTGGAGGTGAAATGATGACATTTTTGATTTAAAAGCAGTGATTGCCATCAGTGGCAGTGCTCCTCCACTTTTTGGGATGCCTGCAGTGTGTTACCCTGTCCTGACTGCTGTTTTGTAGCAAGAACCATTCCTTTTTCCTTGCTGGGCCTCTTTCTTGAGCCCCACTTGAGCTTTCTGAGCTTTTGCTCAGGTTGTGTTTGCCAGGCTGTGTCTGCTGGAGTCTGGTGTGTTCCTGTGCATGGCCTTGGGCAGAGTGTTCAGCTCATAAACAACATGTGATGTGCTGCCTTATAAAAACAGGAATGGAGCTGAAAGGGGCACAGGGCTGGCATGCAGCTACACAGTCTCGTTATTTTGAAGATTTTTTGGGGTTTTTTTTAGCCCTCTTGAGTTTTGTAACAGCGCTGCCTAGGATTTAAATTAGCACATCAGACATAGATCATTATTAACACCATCTTATTTATAAAAGTAGAAGTACTTTTTGTCAAAGTTGGGTTCACAGATGCAGTTGCTTTCATTTAAATTTGAAGGCAGTAGTCTGTAACTTTTGGACCTCAAAGGTTCCTTTAATCTCTTTCCATTGTTGAAAATATCAAGCATTCATTCCTAGCATGTTTTTTCTTGTTAATATTTTTCTGTGCAGTCATGCAACAAATTTCTGATTTCTTGTTTCTTTTTATGATATTTGTATGTGATAAAGGCTGCATGAATTGGATGCAGAACATGGAAAAAGCTCATTATTTGAACACTAGTTGCTTATGTAGCAGAGTAAACAGAGAAGGACTGTGAGGTGCATTTTTAATGTGAAATTTGCTGTGTGAAAATCCCCTCCCTTTTGAGCCACTCACAGTGAAAATGTGTGGGCACAATTTCTGCTTTTTGAAATCCATTGTATTAGAACACACACATATATAAGGATGAAGACTGATGAATTGTTTGGAAAAAAAATGTGTATTTCAAATGGAATGTGACAATTTTTAAATTTTCTTCTACTTTTAGAACAACCTGGGGATCCTGTGGTCTCAGAGGGATGAAATTGAAACTGCACAAACGTACTTGGAATCTGCAGAAGCCTTGTATAATCAATACATGAAAGAGGTACAGTGTCAATGTCATGGCAGCTCTTCCTTTCACCTGCCACCTGCAGGTTAAGTAACCTTTGAAATAAACATGCAGTGGAATTTTGAGTTTCTGTGCTTTATGCTGGCTGCTGTGGTACTTTTGGCAAGTGATACAGGTTGTACTGCAGTGTAGAACAAGGCAAATTAGAGCATTGCTTGCTGATTTCAAAATAGAAAAAATAATTTGCTCAAAAATAATGGTCCCTTTAGAAAGCCCTTTAATAATCCAAAGCTGACGCCTGGTAGAATTTGGATTTTAATGAGGACTATCATTAAATGTTGTCTTGGAAATGCAGTAGAAATATCCATTGCTTTCAGTGGGAAAAGGAAGCAAAACTAATATTTGCATGGTTTGCTGTGAGTGTGCAGGGGCAAGCAGTTCAGTTCCATATCCAAGAGGACAATCCCACAGACAGCTGGCCCTCTCATGCATATTAAACAACCTTTGGAGCTCTGGATTCTGCTGAGGATCCTACAAAGACTCCCTTGTGCTATTTTTAAGCTCTTTGCAAAGCTGTTCCTACACTGAGTTGCCCCAGGGACGGTTCTGGAGTGAGCTGAAAACATTTGTGGCCTTCAAGAAGCAGTAGCTGTGTCTCAGCACAGCTGAACGGGCTGGGCAGACCTTAATTTCATGAAATGACAGGTTCAGTTCAGGTTTTACCATGAAATTGGTTTCGAGTACTGATTATACTTGTGGAGACTTTTAGGTTTTTTATTTTATTAGTTGGTTACTGCCCTCTTTCCACCTTTGCAGCCCCAGTGATGGGAGAGGTAATGGATCTAGAAGAAAGCCTCACTTGTCAGCTTATTTCCTGCCCTCAGGATCAGCTGGGCTAACCAGAGATGCTGCATCTCTCTAATTAATTCCTGATGTTCAACTTTGATATTTACACCCAGCCCCAGCTACCACATGGCTTCCAAAAGCATCTGGCACTTGCTCCAGCTATTATGAAATATAAATGGTATAATGGATTAAAGTGCTGCCAGGTACTTCACATTTACACTGTAGACTTTTCTGAAACTTGAAATTTTTGTTAGTAGTGGTTACTGAATGTTTCTTCTGGGGCTTTGCTGCCTGACCAGGTGTAGTGGTTTTGGTTTGTTAATTTGAGATTTTTTGGTTAATGTATTAGTGACCGTGCTGGGGTTTAGTGTTGGTTGATTGTCAGTGTATTTTTTTCTTGTTGTGAGGTAGAATTAGGAGAAAGGTAAAGTAAGTTTAAAAGGGAAAAAAGAATTTATTAACAGGAATTAAAGGGTGATAAGAATAGAGTAAAACTTTTAGAATACTTCTGTTGCTGCCAGGTGTCCCCAAGGGGTAATAATTAGCATTGGCTCCATGACTCACAGAAGGCTCATTAATCACTTTCTACACTTATTAAAAAATAATTATTATACTTATTAAAAAACCCATCACCCTTACTCATGACACAGGTGGGCCCAGCTGGTCCTGGAATCCAAACACCATCACCAGTGGCCAACCAAGAAACCTCCCTTAGGAAAGCAAATCTCCATAAAACATTCCACATGTGCACAACAGCAGGGGCAGCGAGTGGAGATAAGAATTTTCTCTTTCTTTTCTCTCATCTTCTCACAGCTTTCCACAGTACAATGCCTGGGAAATTGTGCCCTGCTCTCTGTGGCCACACTCTTCTCCTTAGAACTTTTTTATTCTTACTGACAATGCAAAGAAACAAAAGCTAAAATTTTAGTCAGTTTACTACAAATTTTTAAAAAATCCCAAATTTCTTTTAACTTTTTTTTTCACAAAAACACACACAACTCTCTAATACTAAAACCCTTCCATCAGTTTTGTAAGTACTTCCCATACAAACCAAAGCACTGGGGTTATTCAAACCTGCTGATCACTTGCCACACTTTCCCCCAGCATTATTTACCACTCACAGTTCAAGGCATTGTGCAGTCAAACATAGCTGTGCTTTAAGTCTGCTTCCTTTTAGAAGAAACCACAGGTTTATACAGTGATGTCAGCAGTTGTCTTTCCCAAATGATAAATATGTGAACGTAGTGTTTGTGACATTCCCCATTTCCAGGCTGTCAGGGAGTCTTTGGTAACTGCTGATGATGGAGGCATTTTCCTGAGCTGATGGATTTAGTTCTTTACTGGCTGGGTCCAATTAACTCACAAATTGGGTGGTGTCTCCCCCTAAAGCAACACCAAGGCTGATGAAATCCACTCAGAAGGGAAAGTTGCAGAGCTCTTTCTAAGGATAAGTAAAGGTATAATGCTTGATATCAGAGATAGATCTGTGGATATACAGGAAGGAGGCAAGAATTTTGCTTACTGTGTCATTTCAGTTCTTTTCTTTGCAGGAATAGCTCTAGTCTTGCCAGAATAGAGTCCAAATCTTGTTAGAATGTTTGTATCTGAAGAAAACAAGAGGAAGAGTTATACATTCACCTCATAAAAACTAATGAGGTGCAAAGACCTACAGATTAAAAGATCAGATACAAAAATCTGCGTGCCTCTGGTAGGTTAGACATGCTTTAGTTCATTTGTTACCGTGTGTTTCAGGTACATTTACTCATTTTTAAGGTGAATAAAACACTTTTGTTAAAAGCAAGTAAATGAGTCTGTTCAGGGATTTTTAATGAGAAGCAGTACAAACACAGTAGGTGTTCATCTCTGTGAAGTGAGTGTGTTCTCTGCCCTTGTTCCTGCTCCTACCTCAGTGTGCATGAACTCATGAAAAGTATTTACTGAAGCTGATTTTTATTTGTTGCCTTACTTTCTCTTGGCTAAGAAAGAGATGGGGTTAGGAAAGGCTGGCTGGTGACATTAGTGACAGTTGTCTTAGGGCAGGTGTGCACACAGCAATGCCCCAGGGTGTGTATTTGTCTGTGTAAAGGTCTGACAGAACTCATGGCTTGAAGAGCAAAAAGCTGCTTCTAATGATGGGAACTACCACAATTAATTAATACTTGCATGTAGGTTGTGCCTGATAGGAACATTCAGCAGCTTCATCCTCCAGAGACAGTGTGGCTTGGCTGGTTTGTTCACCTGGGTAAATGATCTTGCCAGCTCGTGGGCTCTGGGGGTCCCTTCAGAAGAACCTTCCCAGCAGCTCTGCTGAGCTCTCAGCACTTGCTGTTCTCTGCAGGACTTCCTCAGGATGTTTTCTTGCTGCTCAGCACTGCAGCTGGGCGAACAGATATTTCACACTTGAAGGCTTGGTGTTAAATGGATGCCTCAAAGCCCAGAATGTTACTGCACAAACCAAAGGTGTCCTGCAGGGTCCAGGCTGAGCATCTCTGGTGCAGGCAGCGTGCATTGCTTTCAAGTACATAAGCAGAAGCCTCCTGCAAGCTGTGAGCTTTGTCATTGCATGTGGAATTGTGCCTTTCATCCTCTAAATCTCCTGAGTGTTGTGGAATTGCTCTGGAGAAGGGGCACTGAGCTGGGTTATGTAAAGCTTTGTTGAATTTGGGATTGGCAGATGGTCAGTGATGTGTAGCCAGGAGAGGGAGCACTGTGCCAGAGGGAGAAATGCAGTTTGCTGAATGTGCCCTGTACCCTTGCAGGATGGAAATCCTCCCCTGGATCCCAGTGAGCATTTCATGGCAGAAGAAGAGAAACTCACAGACCAAGAAAGATCCAAAAGGTGGGCGTTAAGCAGCATGCTTTTATTATTATTATTATTCTTTTTTTTTTTTTAAATGATGAGTTATAGGAATGTGCCCTCTGTTGACAGAGTGACAAAACTTAAAAAGGAAATAAGCCCAGAAGTTTCTCTCCTCAATTAAGTGAAAAGCCACCTCCTAGGCCCAGGGGACTTCACCTCAAACTTAAGTATAGCTAATTGGACAGGAGCCAAAAAGTCCTGCCTGGGCAATTTACTCAAAAAAGAAGAGAGCAAAGAAACCAATCACTTTTGTGTTGTGTTTTACCAGGAGCAAAGACCTCCTGCACGTGGCTCAGTTTTCTCTGTTTGTTATTTTGCCTTTTGTTAAACCTTTTTGCCCTTTTATTAAACCTTTTTGTTTCCAGCACTGCCACAGAAGCCACCCTGCTGATTTTGATGCCTCCAAGGGTAGGTGTGTTATAGGCCTCCAAGATTATTAGCCCTAGCTCCAGAAGGCTGCTCTAACAATGAGTATTTAGGGAGGGAAGCCCACCATCTGAAGAGGCTGTTGTTGTTTTTCCAGGTTTGAGAAGGCCTACACACACACTCTGTACTACCTGGCCCAAGTGTACCAGCACCTGGAGATGATTGAGAAGGCTGCTCAGTACTGCCACACCACGCTGAAGCGGCAGCTCGAGTACTGCGGCTACTACCCCGTGGAGTGGGCACGGAATGCTGCCACCCTGTCCCAGTACTACCTGTCCAAGGTACCCTCGGGCTGT